ATGATTCCTTTTCGTATCACAAGTATATGCATGTGTGTCAAGTCATACTGGCAATACTTTTCGATATATAATACAATAAGGAGTAATCTGTACCTCGTGCCATACAAGATAATATTCGTACACTGTGAGCTTAATTGAATTTTTCATGTTTTCATAATTTATTATTTACATATTACACAATTTTCTTTTTCTTTTTATAAAGAAGCTACGATCACTGCCTGTAATATATTCAATGCAAAAATTAGAAAGATTTGAACTTGAACAAACATGTGACATTAAATAACATAGAAATGAAAATCGTACCGTATTGAAGATTGAAGCAATGCGAAAGTGATTACGTGATTACTGCAAATTAAAATGTTTAATTTAATCAAGCTTTTTTGTGTAATTTTTTCGAAAATGGTTCAAAATTGTACGACATGTAATTACACAGTATACTTCTGTAATGATGTTTCATACGTTTGATACAAAAATGTCATTCAATTCAAATTGTATAAATCAAATGTTTGAATTAATTATATTAAATATAAATTAAGTTTACCATATACAATAGCAACATGACGATTTCTTTTTCATTTTATATATATCTTGTTTAAGTAAATGTAAATGTTAACAATTTTAGAATACGTACATATTTGTATACGTACATGTTTTTTAAATTGTTCATTGAAATACAATAGATTTCTCATTAATTCATTTAATTAATTGAATTTCCGATCATAATGAAAGAACAAATTAGGGAAATCGCTAATGATATACGTTTCACAAGTTATCTCGTTTCCAAGGACACTATTCAATGATTTAGTATTGAATCATTTTAGTGCATTACGTAGATCATATACAAATTCTATGTAATAGTAACGCACACTGGTCATTTCTTATATTGTGAAAAAAAATGTCTCTTTCTGTTATTCCGTCGTGAAATATAAATATTGTGGTAACTGTTAGTTCAGTGAATCAATTTCTTAGCGTCGCTGTACGATTGTATGCATGAAGTACAGAAATGTTTACTTTTTATAAAATGGAATAAATATTGTGTTATCACGATTAGGAATCATATTATCTTCATGTAGAGACCTTAAACTTAAATCTGCCTTCTTTAATAGTTTGCAAGCAAAAATAGCTAATTTCTGCATATATTGCTTTACAAGTTTTTCTATTGTCGTAACTGCCAGTTTTACTAGTTCTCTTAAATGCAATAATGAACTTTAAAAATGGAAATTCCAACACTACCATCATGCTGTTTATTATTGTCTTTAAATAAGTCTATGCAATGCATGTCTTATTTAAATGTTGTATATTAAAGGTTTAGAC